TTGATCATGTATCCTTTCAATCTTTTATCTATGCATGGTGATCTTTTTAATACTTGAGATAATATTTTGTAGACAATTTTGTATCCTCCTTTTATTCATTTCATATATCATTTTAAAGCCTTTCATTACATAATCTTTTAAAACTTTGTTATGAAAATCTTGAACCTGTAAAGAATATGGAAGTTTAATGAACTCCCGCATAGCCATCACCCAACTTCTCCAATTCTCAGTGGCTGGCCAACCATGTTTTATATGAGTTCTCTCCGATATTATTTTGAAGCAAATCCCAGATATCATAACATTTTACCTCTAAGTATTTTAGTGTGATTCTCTAAAAGACATGGATAAGAAGTGAAAGCCCCTTTGCTTAGCAAATAAATGCCAAAGTATTTAGGGGTAAAAGAGAATGATGTTTGTAACTTATAAATGGTTCAGGAAAAAAATAGGTAGGTAGATGTGAATAGAATGTTTGTAGGTGGTTTTTTTTTGTATTATTCTTGAAATTTTTTTTCTAACTTTTCAATATTCTAAATAGTTTTTAAAATGTGAGTTATAAAAAATATATTTAAAATGTGATTTTCTAGGAAAAATAACCACAGTATCATTATTATTATCAGCAAATAATAATTCTTTAATAACATCATATATCATAATTAGCATTTCTCCTAATTTGGCCTAACTTGTTCCATTATGTCATTAAAAAAAAAATTGTTCAAAGCACAATTCCAAATAAGGTCCTTACAGTAAAATTGATATTCCCTTAAATTTCATTTAATTCATTGGTTTCCTGCCCTCTTTATTTCATCCTTGTTATTGCTATAAAAAAAGTCTGTTCGGGATCCCTGGGTGGCGCAGCGATTTGGCGCCTGCCTTTGGCCCAGGGCGCGATCCTGGAGACCCGGGATCGAATCCCACGTCGGGCTCCCAGTGCATGGAGCCTGCTTCTCCCTCTGCCTATGTCTCTGCCTCTCTCTCTCTCTCTCTCTGTGACTATCATAAATAAATAAAAAAATTAAAAAAAAATTAAAAAAAAAAAAGTCTGTTGAAGACAGTGTTTGACCTGTAGAGTTTCCTACAATCTGAAATCTGATTGGTTACACTCCTTGGTGCTGTTCTACATGTTTCTGTTGCAGAAATTTCCTATAAATTGGTAGTTGCAGCTAGAGGCTTGTTCAGATTCAGATTCCATTGTTTATTTTAAGTAGTCAACATTCCATAGATTCTATATAAAAATTCTGATTTTGGCTTCATTGGAAAATTCTGCAGATCTGGCCTTCCCCCCTTCCTGGCAAGGGCCAACCTTGAACTGGGTAGTGACCACACCTATTCCCCACTGAGGTGGGATATGAATTATCCTGCAGGCCACCGTTCACACTCCTTTCTGCCTGGCTCCCTGGAGCCCTAGAGCCCCTGTTCCAAATACTGCTTCTTCAGGGATTTTGATACACTTCTCAGCACACCACCACAAGAGGCCCTTTAGGAAGCAGGGAAGACGATTCAGACATGGACTTTCTTAAAATGCTGGAAGGGAAAGCTATCAGCAGCCACATAGAAGGAAGCCAAGTGATAGAAATTTCCCTCAGCCCAAGATAAGGGCAAGAGAGAATAGAAGTAAAACAATAAATTAACAGAGTGCTGCAAATATGAGAGACAGAATGAGTTATAGATTCGTAACCCATGGTGGGAAACTAAGGAAGGAAGTGGGTTTTAAAAAGAGACAAACTCTAGTCTTTTTATACATTATGATAATATTGAAACCTTAGAGAGAGAGAGGGAGCAAAAGAAGTGGGCAGTAAACGTTACATTGGCCAACAGTCCTAAATCAAAAAGTGCAAGAATGTAGCTGTAGCCTAGCAGAAGTCAAGTGAGGATTAAAGGTAGAAAATGAGGAAACCCTCCCGGGAAAGGCGGTGGGGCAAGGACCAGGAGCCACGCTGTGGAGATGTCAAAGAACTGGTGGATATTTAAGAGAAGAAGATCTCAAAAGTCTTAGGGTTTTGTTTTTTTTTTCTGATTTGCAAATGTATTGAACTGAAAGGTATTATAAAAATATAGACAAAAAATATAGGCAAATTGAGCTGTTTTGGAAAGATAAACCTTTACAGAAAAGAATAAAATCATGACGAGTTGGGATGTTCCTGGAATTTTCCAGATAGTTCCCCATACTCAGAAGAATGATTAAGAGAGAGAATCTGAGACTGGTTATGAGGAAGGGTGGAAAATTTTGAAGGACAGCCTGCTTATGTAAGTTTTCGGCTGTGGCGTTTAAAACTGTTGCCATGATATTTTAGTTATTAATAACAATTTGGGGAAATCTACTCGCTTCTGGAGAAACATTTGGCTCTAATGAGAAAGAAATGCCACTGTTTGTAAATTCCCAAGTGGATGTAAGGAGCCATTCACTTGCTAAGCCTCTTAGGAAAGCCAGAGCCGATTTCACCCTTAACAAGCTGTTGACAGCGTCTGATCAAGGTACCACCTGGAACATGTTAGCAGCATAGAAAGTGGACTGTGGAGACAGACCTGTGTTTAAATCCTTTTATGTCACTCACCTGGTGACCCTGGGCGCTCACCCATGGAAAATTTATAGGGTATAAAGGTTGCTTTATGTACGTATGATTCTTCTTGCTTGGATGGTAGGAACTTAGAGCTCTGGATCATTGCCTTCTAGCACTAGCAGCCACAACAGTTTACACGTATAGAGCACTTACTATGTTCCAGGCACTTCTGTAGAGACTTCATATGTATTATCCCACTTATTATTAAAAAGCCCTACAAGTAAGTGTAATCTTAAAATAAACCTCATTTTATGGATGGGGAAGCTGAGGCGTGGGGAGGTTAAGTAACTTGCCTAAAATTATACAGTGAGTGGCTTTGTAAGTGACAAAGCTGGGCTTTCAACCCAGTGGGACAGAATCGAAAGGCCAAACTCCCTTGCTCTTCCACTTCCCGCCTTCCCAGTCTCAGGGAAGCACAGTCATGCCTCATACTGGCACTTTCCAACCTGAGATTCCTAATTTGGGTGCCTCAGTTTTCTTGGAGGTCTCCAAATGATTTTCACAGTTTCCAAAAGCCTCACTTGGGAACGCATAAACTTGCAATCAGACCACAAGTTTCCTTAGGTTGCAATCTACCATTAACAATGGATTGGCTCAGGTGTTGTAGAAGCTCTGATTGGCAGTTACACAAAAACATTGCGGGGTTGTTTTTTAAGTGGCAAGATGAATCATTAGTTAATAAACACAATTTAGTGGAATAGATCTTTCTAAACATGTGGCCTACTGAGAAAGACTAGAGGGTGCTTGGCTTTGAGAAGGCTGGGGAACTGCTAGTGTACATGTGTGTGCATGTTGCCCAAACCGCCAGCCTTTAAAACCCGGCCTTTATTTTTAAATTACATAATTCTTTAATTTGACTATAAGTCAATTTATTTTTCCTTGATTATTTAAAATGTTTCGCTAGCCGTGTATTTAATATTGTAATCCACTTTATTCTTCAAAACGATCAGGTCTTTAAAATATGGTCAGGAACTGAGATGCAGAATTGCAAACATTGCATTCCAAACTAAAAACAGGACAACAGGTTTTCTTTTAATCCTTTTAAGTTGCAACCTGGGAGTAAATCTTTGCTCAAGAAAAAAATTTTTTTAAGGTTTTATCCATTTATTCATGAGAGACAGAGAGAGGGAGAGAGAGAGGGAGGGGGAGAGGGAGAGAGAGAGAGAGAGAGAGAGAGAGAGAGAGAGAGAGAGAGAGAGAGAGAGAGAGAGAGAGAGAGGAAGCAGGCTCCATGCAGGGAGCCCGATGCGGGGACTCAACCCGCTGAGCCTAAGGCGGAGGCCCAACCGCTGAGCCACCGAGGCTTCCCTGCTCAAGAAAATTTTAAAATAAGAGTCGTACTACCAAAACGCAGGGAACATGGATGGTTTTGAAAAACAAAAAGCAAACAAAACCTGCGCGTTAGTGCACGAGGCTCACAGCTCCACAAGGCAAACCTGTGGCAGGCCTCAGTAAGTCTTTTTTCAACGAGCAGCCCCTGAATCTTGGGAGAAAGATGCTAGCAGGCAGTCAGGGCGCTTTATTTGGAGGAGAGGCCTGGGTCTTTGCGGGAAGTGCTTTTTAATACCGGGCTGGGGCTATGGATGCAGGCCTCCCCGGGCAGCCACGGGAAGGCGCAGGTGACGCACCACTCCTGCCCTGGGCTTCCTCCGAATCCTGGGTACGGGCGCCCTCTGAGATCCGGCCCCCGGGCTCCCTTCGGCGGCCCCGGGCCTTGTTCCGAAGTGCGGGTGGCCGCGGTCCGCACCGGGGCGCCGTCCCTGTCCCCCGGGAGGGGGCGGAGCCCGGGCGCCGCCAGGACCCCCCCCCCCCCCGCCGCCGCGCCAGGTGCGGGCTGGGCCTCGCGGGCCCGGCGTGCGGCCCCCGCCCCGCCCCGCCCGCCCGCCGCCCGGGTCCCGCCCGGGTCCCGCCCGGGTCCAGCCGCCGCCGCCCGCCGCCGCCGCCGCCGCCGCCGCCGCCGCGGGGCCTGGTGTCCGCGCGACGCTCCCCGGCGCCCCGGGCCGCGGGCTGACGGTCGGGCCGGCCGGGGGCGGGCCGGGCCGCGGGAGCCGAGCCGCCGGCGTCCATTTTCTGGGCGGTGCTGAGTGGCGCAGCGGCCGGGCTCGCGGGTCCGGAAGAGCCATGGCCCCCCGGGCAGCGCGCGCCGGAGCAGGGGAGCCCCGTAAGTGCCGCCCGCGGGGCCGGCGGGCCGGGCGGGGGGCGGCCGGGGGCGCGGCCGGGGGCGCGGGGCGCGGGACGCCGCCGGCCCGGCCCGGCCCCTCCTCCCCCTCCCCTCCCCTCCGCTCCCCAGGAGGGAGCCCCTGCGCGGCGGGGGCGCGGCGGGGGGCGCGGCGGGGGCGCGGCGGCCGCAGGTGCCGGGAGCGGGGGCTGGGGCGGGGGTCGGCAGCCGCGCCGGGCAGGTGGCGCCGCGTCTAACGGCCCGACTGCGCGGCTGCGCTGGACGGCGGGGGCGGGGGCGGGGGCGGAAGGCGCCCCCAAGGGCTCGGGGACCCGAGGGCCCGGGGCCAGCGGGCTCAGGAACCGCGCAGGCGGTCGCAGCTCCTCCCGCCCGGCCCGCGACTGGGGACCCCGGTTCCGACGCAGCGGGGACCTGATGATTTTCTCGGTTCACCGCCGAGCCCCTGGAATCGAATGGGACGTGCAAAGGCAGGGCCCTGCCCCCAGGGGTTGCAATCTCAGCCTCTCACTCCTCCAAGCAGTTAGGGCTGCCTCTGTCGGTGCAGCACAACCGCCCGCCTCAGCCGCTGCCCTGCAGGGTGCACAGTAAAGGCACCCGCGGTTTTAGTCTGTCCACGACTCCGCTTGATAAGTCCTCCTCTGCTGTCGGTAAGTGACTAATTCCATTCTGGACTTCGGCCCTAATTGAATATTCCTTTGAAGGGTCCATTATAGATGATATATGTTATGGTGCCGGATACATGTTTTAACGGTTGAAGACTTCTCCCCATTGCCCACCTCGAGGACTCGGGTCAGGTTCGCAGGGCTAAAAAGCCTAGGAGAATTCAGACCGTGGTTTCAGAGAAACTCCTGGTGAGGCCCTACCATACGTAGGCGTCGTGGTTTTCCAACAAGAGTAGGGACCCATTAGAAGATTGTGGACTCGGTTTAGTGGGTTACTTCGGGAATTTTTTTTTTTTTTTAAAAGACATAGACTATATAATCCAATACAGAAAAGAAGAGAATAGAAGGTATCAGAGCACATTGCATGTAGTAAAACCAAGTGTTATTTTAAGACTTTGGGGTTTGTTTATATAATGTAATTTTTAAAAACAGCGGGTCACAGAAAGTTTTTAAAACACTTGTTTACAGGTTAATAACCCAGGCTTTGGAATCAACTGAACCTGGGTTTAAGTCCCAGATCTAACATAAACTACCTGTGTGACCTTGAATAGATTCCATGACCTCTCAGAGCCTCTTTTTGTGCAGCTGTAAAATGGGGAAAGTCTCCTACATTTGAGGGGTATTATCAAGACTATACAAGGTCACATATGGCGGTATTTTGCTCAGTACTTAGAGTACGTGTTCAACATACATGCTAATTGCACTTATTGTCATTGCTGAAACGTCAAATCCTGGCAGCCAGTCACGGGACTGTGCTCTTTCTTTTTTTTCTTTTTTTTTTCTTTTTTAGGTCTTGAGGAGGAGGAGATGGAGGACTCAGAACCAAGAATTTCCAAGTGATTTCTTCCAAAGCATAAGAAACTGTTAGTGCTGGTGTGTTCTCACTGAGGTAACTGAATTTGTGTCTCATGTTAGTCTGTATGAAATAAGAAAGGGATTTTTCTGAGGGACCGAATGACTCCCAAGGGGCATCTGATTTGTGCCAGCAATCGACCAGATTGGGGGATTACAAAGTGACAATGACATTTAAGTGAACTGTTATTAAGGAGACAGGAGGCCCCTGTGATGAAGGAGGAGCTAAGTGAAACAGGGCTCCCGGACAACTGGTTTCTCATTCCAGTTCTGCCAATGACTATCATGGGAGCTTCTAGAAGTCTTTTTGTAGATCTCACATTTGTCCAGACTGGAAGGGCCCACAGACATCATTGAGGCCCAGAGAGTTTAAATGACTCTTTAGGGCATCCCAGTGGGTTGGGGCCGAGGTGGGACCACAGCTTGGATCTCAGTCAGTCATGTAGCCAGCTCAGGGCCTGCTGTAGGGTGAGTACCATGTTAGGCATGGAGAGTGCACACATGAAGAGCCCACCCCAGGACACTTGCAGTTTTTATGTAGACAAGAACTGACAGCTAGCAAAGTGCTGGATTATTTATTTATTTATTTACTTACTTACTTACTTACTTACTCACTCACTCACTTACTCCTCACAATACCTCTACAAGGTAAAGAACAGATGTGAAGGATTAACATGTGAAAAAATTCAGACAGGTCCTGGAGGGCTATATAGCTCATACTGCACGTATGGTGCACATTCTATATGCAAAGCACAATGCTAGGACCACAAAGTTCAAGGCAAAGTGCTTGCCCCCTCCAAGAGTTTGTAGCCTAATCTTCAAAGAGACAGTCAGATGGGCTGTGCCTGACGTTCACCCCTCATTCACCTGCCTCTCCAGCAGGCAGAGTGGGGGGAGGTATTGCAGAAAGAGACCTGAGTCACTGGCATGTCATAGTTCTTGCCTTTCGATGCAATTTTTCTCTTTTTTCCAAATTTAACTTCCATCCAACTATTAAAACTTTTACTTTCAACTTAGAAACGATAGTAAGATCTTCTCTGAATTAATTAATTCATTGATGTGTTCACTCAACAAATGTATATTAAGCTCCTATAAAGCACTTGGGTATTCAAGACCAAATGTGCTGATTTTTACAATCATGATTATTAATTATGTTCAATCTCTTAGAAAGGAATTATTTGTCCAACTGTTAGAGATTTGCTTTTGCTAACATACTAGAATATTAGCTCCCAGGATGTTCAAGATTGACCCATTAAGGATATATAGATCTTTTAAAAAATCCTGAAATCTTAAGAAAGGAATTTCTTCTTGGGGCACTTGGGTGGCTCAGGTGGTTAAGTGTCCAACTCTTGATTTTCACTCAGGTCATGATCTCAGGGTTGTGAGATGGACCCCAGCATTGGAGTCAATTCTTAAGATTCTCTCTCTCTCCCTCTACTCCTCCCTCCCCCCAAAGAAGAAAGGAATTTCTTCTCTTTTAAATTCTGACTTTGCCATTACTGTCACTTGCTTATAGTGGTCTTTTATTTGTCGACTTAACCAACAGATATAGAGGAAAGCAGTTTGGCAAGGAAGCTTTCTTTACCTTGAAATGCTTCTCTCTTCTAGCTTTGTAGGTTACCCAGGACTAGGAGTGTTCAAAGGTAAAGCAATTTAAGATGCTCTGATTTACAGAATACAAAGTTAGAGATAGCTCCAGTAATTTCATTAAGCAACAGAAATCAGTTTGTAAGTCTTGAATGCTGCTTGTAACAAACTTAACTCCAGATAGAACAAATGAGATGTTGAATGTGAATGTGCTTTGTAAATTTCTAGGAGTTCTACAAATGTTACACAGCAAATATTTATTGAGTGTCTACATGAGTACATCACTGTGCTAGAGAAAACAGAGGATTCGGCAGCAAAAAAGATCTGATTCCTTCCCTTACAGAGACTATTATGTAGGTGAGGAAATAAAATATGCAGAAACACCGTGTGGTAAATGCCAAAAAAGATAGTTTGGTAGTTTGAAAAAGAAAAGGCTCTTTTACTTCTAGGAATCAAGGGATTCTTTCTTGAGAAAAGGCATTTAAGCAAGTCCTTGAAGGATGTAGAATTTCCATAAAAGAGATGGGGAGAAGGGGCACCTGGGTGCCTCAGTCGGTTAAATGTCCGATTCTTGATTTCAGCTCAGGTCATGATCTCAGGGTTATGAGATCGAGCCTGAGTTGGGCCCTGCACTCAGCAGAGAATCTGCTTGAGATTCTCTCTCTCCCTCTGTCCCCACTCCTCTCTCTCTCTCTCTCTCTCTCTCTTAAAAATAAATAAATAGGGGCACCTAGGGCCTATAGGTGCCCTATTATTATAGGTGCAGGTTACTATTCTATTAATACAGAATATTAAATGGTTCAGTAAGTTAAGTGTCTGCCTCTGGCTCAAGTCATGATCTCAGGGTCCTGGGATTGAGGCCCACATCTGGCTCCCTGGTGAGTGGGGAGTCTGCTTCTCCCTCTCCATCTGCACCCCCCTGCTCATGCACATGCTCTTTCTCTTTCTCTCAGGTAAATAAAAAATCTTTTTAAAAAATAAATCTTTTTAAAAGAGAGAGATGGGGAGAAGGCATTTGAGATAGGAAGAACAGCAGGAGAACAAGAGAGCATGAACCATATCCAGGGAAAGGTAGTGAGTCCAGTTGAGTAGAACTGGCCTATACAGGCATCAAGTGGGAAATAAAACAACATTCAGTGGCGAACAATAATGGTCTTGAATGTCAAGCTGGGAAATATGGGTGTATTAAACCAAAAGGAGTCATTGAATATGTTTGAACAGGGGAGTGTCACAGCTATGCATCCAGGGCATGCTCTTGTGAGTAGCTCATGGGGAGATGGAGCAGGAGAAAAGGCAGGGCAGAAACTGGTGACAGGGAGACCAGTTAGAAGGCTGCCACAGCCCATCAAGGAAAGGTAGGACTGTTGGAAGGGAAGGCCTGAAATGGGTGATAGCAGTGAAACAGGAAAGAACAGATGCGAAAGAGAGAACAGACGCAATGTGACATTTCCGTAAAGAAGGAATAGCTAAAGCTGCCACTGAAATTTCCCGGAGTAGTGTTGCCTGTGAGGGAAACGTCAAAGGTGGGTAAGGAGCACCATGTGAGAGGTGCTGAGTTTGAGGTGGTGACAGCTCACAGGGGGCTTTGTGCACAGAGGAGGGCCAGAGCTAGCTTGGGAGTCCTTAAGGTCTAAGAAAAAGTCAAGAGATGGGAGAAGAGATTATCTAGAGAGAGAATATAGGGAAGCAAAGATGGAGGATGGAGCCTTATTGGAAAAGAAAGAAGGACCTAGGGGACGGACCTAGAGAGAAGTCTGGCAAGAGAGCAAGCAAGAATTACAAGGGAACAGACTCCACCAGCCAGCAGAAGGGGCTTCCCAGTGGAGGGAGCCGGAAGTACCAGACTCTGGGGAGGTGGGGGCTGGGCTCAGGACGCTGTTGGATTGACAGAGGCTACATCGCATTATTGGCACTTTTCTCTTTGAGGTAATATGACTTGCAGAATGAATATTAAATGGTTTCATTCACAAGAATTTGTAGCTTGTACTAATCAAGAATCACCATTAAATTTGATCCTAGTGAGCCCCCCAAAACACTTCTGATTACTAAAATTCCAACTGTTAAATATGGTTGTGAGTAGACAGACCAAAGAATATCTGTTGGTAGGATAAGTTTGTTGAAAACCACATTTCTGTTGATGGAAGAGGTTTTCTAAAAGTATTTTAATTCCTTTGCCTTTTACTAAATGGCTATATGTACGTGTGAGAGAGAAAGAGTGTGTGTGCGCGTGCGCGTGTTTGTGTGTGTGTGTGTTTTCATGGGCATATGAGCTTAATACAATGGAATGAGAAGACTGGGGTCAGATAAATCTAGTTTCACAACCTCACCGGGCCATTTTCCAGGCTTGTGACTTCAGAAAAGTTACTCCCAGGGCCTAACTTTTTCCATCTATAACTCAAATAAGATTATTTTGAAGATTGAGTAATACATAATTTGGTCAGGATCTGTACCATAGTAGGAAGTTAATAAATGTTGATTCCCTTCCCCTTACAACCTTGTATAGATATGCAAATTTCTGTATAATATGCATCTATATACAAAGCATTATCTTTATGACTCATTTTAATGTGTTGATTTTATCAAGGAAAAAGCATTCCTCCCATTATAGCTAATCTATCCCGTGATAATTCCAACTGACTGGCAACTTAGTATGGATAAGAATCCACCTGGGGAATGCATTAAAATGTGGTCCTAGACACCCCCACCCCCAATCCAGAGATTCTAAGTATATAGATTTTGGGGGAGGGCCTAGGAATCTTCATTTTAGACAAGCAGGACAAGGTGAGGATTAACAAGTGCCAGTTTCTAGGAAGCAGCGAAAGAGGCAAACCTGAGACTTAACATTAATGGATTATATTTGTAAGAAGATAAAAACAGACGAGTCCCAGATAGTCAAGGCATGCTGGGATTCTCATCCCCCAACCGTCTCGGTCTGCAGCACATCCACAGCAGTACCGGGTGACGTGTAGCCTCCATATCCACTTCTCTTCCTGCAGGAAATATAATGGCAGCAACATTGCCTGGTGATGCCATTAAAATATATTTTGATGCGTTTTTCTGTATGACTCAGTGTCCTCTGGTTGGTAAACATCTCTGCTAACTTGATTCCTTTCTCTGCCTGTCTTCATCCAGGAATCATAGAATTTTTAGGTTAGTTCATTTTGCTCATCCATCCCAACCTCATTTTATAGATGAGAGAAGAATTGATCCTCTTTTTCCTCCTAGTGCTCGCTGTCTTCCTTGCTTATTCACAAGAAGGGATTGAGACATATGTCTATCCGTGATACTTAAGCTAAGTGTGGAGAATATAAGACGTATTTGACTTGTTCATATTGAATTGTGCTTTATACTCCCTGTACATAATTTAAAAATCCGATAACTTAATGTGAATATGTTTATTAAAATGATACCAGGTCCTTTTGTAATATCCTTGGCCTTCTGTTGATGGTT